TTCCTCTTCAAACTGATGACTGCCCTGTTAAGACAGAGTCAGCTCAAAAAGTCCGTAAGAGATTGAAATCTTCTGTTGCTTAACTTAAAAGACAACAAACTAGACCACAAATAGAGTCTTTTCTCCATTTTGCAGAGCAGGACACAACTAGCCAGCTTGCCAAAGACCACCACCAGCACATTTAAGGATTCCAGATGAAACGGTCAATCGCACAGAGAAAACGAGACGCACATGCATTTATTCAAGAACTCCGCAGCTGAACTGGTGAAATGAGGAACGTAGGAATATACTGAGAGAGCGTAAGAGTTCCATATGGTCCCCATTGCTGATATTTCTGTGGAGTGAGGTCCAGTGAATGCAATTTCAAAATTAGATTTTCCACTTCTATTAATTAAAGATCTGATTATATATTTTGGTTTCATTTCACTCATGTTTAGACCATGTTTCACAGATTTTGTGCAACAAAACTGTTTGTAAACATGCACCTCTACACATTTGTGCAGAGATCTTGGTGTCCTCCATGATCTCATTCCAGTAAACACACCATGGTGTGTAAAACAGTCACAAGAGACTGCTCAAATGTAGGGTTATGGAAATTGTCATGGTTCTGAAGTGTACCATCCAGGTTGACAGGTGGGAAGCACTAGATCAAGTGCATCTCCTCTTTTCTGGCATGTTGAAGTAGGGCTGAGGCAGACCAGGATAAAGGTCAGAGTCTTCTCCAAAGCCTGTCAGAGTTCCAACTCCTGCTATTTAATCTGAGACTTTTTAATGTAAAGAGATTAATCAGAACTCTGGGAGTTGCAGTTCTGAGAGCGCCAAAGGCAAAGAGTTTGGGAAATGGGAGGATGGAACAAGAGGTAAGCAAAATGGAAAGGGAGAAAAAAGAAAACTGGAGCAGCAAAGCAAGAGAGACAACAGGGACTGGGTGACAGCTCTGCAAGCAGAACTTGAAGGCAGGAGGATGGGGATTGCTCTGCCGCAGCTGGATGCAGGATGCATCATCATAGTAATAAAATCTGCTCTCTTTGTTCCTTTTTGAATGCGATGCTCCAGTTATAACCTGTGACATCCATTAGCTCAGAAAAATCAAGCTGCGAGTTGGGCATTTTGATTTTGTTTGGATTTTTTAACATTAAACGAGTTTCATTATTGACCTGTACGAGACTGTGTGAAAGGTTGGAAACAGCCTTAAAGTGGAGTGTAAGGAAAAAGCCCCAACTGGTTACCATGCTGACAAAGGGACAAACACAGCAGTGCATTGAACAGATACTCATTCAGTGTGTAGCAGGAAGGAAAACAGATGTCATGTCATCGACCTGAGCTGGCACATCCAGAGATGAAGTCCAAGCCCAAAAGAAGCAAGGTCCCAATACCTAACACAACTACAACAACGCTGCTAAGGGTGAGAGGCAAGACATCACGGTGCTGCACAGTGGCTTTCTGTGCATTTGTCCCTTTTGTTCTCTAAAAATCGTGTACAACTTAATTTTTTTAGGGGACTGAAAGAAGGGGAGATTTTTATTAGTGCAGGATGTGAAATCCATTTCACTTGGCTCCAGAGCAGCAGCCTGACAGCTGCCGCTGTCCCGAGGATGTGACTTCTGCGGCTCACCTGAGAAAAGGCAGACTTCTTCAAGTCCTGGTACAACAGCTATATAATGCCCAGAACCTCCTCCTAAAATTGCCGGCTGTATCACAGCAAGGTGAGCCCCTGCAAAGCATTTCTCTCCTCATTAATAAAGCACAG